CAGCACCTGGGGAGCTGAACTTTTACCATTCCTCTTATATCTGCCCAAGCCCACTCGCCTCGGTCAGTTCCTGTAGAGTTCAGAAAAGGATAGATGAGGAGGTCAGAGAATCAGAGAAGGGTGCCTTCCTTGCTAGCTTGTTTCCTGGATAGATGTGGGTTGCTGAATGCAGTCAGACCTTGGGCTATTTAGTTTTGATCGTGGGGTGGTGACCACAACTTTCAGATCTGCCTAGGGGTGTCTGGGAGGTTTCGTTTCAAAAAGCAACTTTTCCAAGCCCTAGCCAGGAATTTACTGAAGAATGGGCAATCTTTGTTTCGGTTCAGGGAAGAATTCCTTTCAAGGACCTATCTGCTTGGATTGCATGTCAGCTGCAGGGCATGACCTGAAGCTAAAGAAGGAAAGGTCACCCCTTTTGTCATTCTCTCTCCATTATCCCTTCCTGGAATCATAGAGTTGGAAGAGACCCCATGGGCCATCCAGTCCAACCTCCTGCCATTCAAAGCACCCCTGACAGATGGCCATCCAGCCTCTGTTTAAAAGCCTCCAAAGAAAGAGCCTCCACCACACTCCGCTGCAGAGAGTTCCACTGCTGAATGGCTCTCACAGTCAGGAAGTTCTTCCTAATGTTCAGATGGAATCTCCTTTCTTGTAGCTTGAAGCCATTGTTCCACGTCCTAGTCTCCAGGGCAGCAGAAAACAAGTTTTCTCCCTCCTCCTTATGACTTCCTCGCACATATTTATACATGGCTATCATGTCTCCTCTCAGCCTTCTCTTCTTTAGGCTAAACATGCCCAGCTCTTTAAGCTGCTCCTCATAGGGCTTGTTCTCCAGACCCTTGATCATTTTAGTCGGCCTCCTCTGGACATTCCAGCTTGTCAATCTCTCTCTTCAATTGTGGTGCCCAGAATAGGACACAATATTCCTGGTGTGGTCTAACCAAGGCAGAATATAGGAGTAATAATAATAATAGTAATAATAATAAATAAAACTTTATTTATACCCCGCTACCATCTCCCCATGGGACTCGGTGCGGCTTACATGAGGTTGAGCCCACAATACAACAATACAAGCAAAACAAGCAATAACAAATACAATACAAAGCAATTAAAATAAATCTCATACACAAAAAGCATAAACATTGAACAAAATACAGTGCACATTTAAAATCTATGACTGGGCCAAATGTAATTAAAGTTTAAAAAATAATGCTAGGCATGAACAAGATACAGGAGGTGGGGCGTTGATAGAAACATACAAGCAGTCCTAAATCGATATAAAGTGCTTTTTTGGGGGTGGGGGGGGGGACACATAATGCTAAGGGTTCATTATTCTGGGAAGGCACACTGGAACAACCACATTTTCAAGCTCCTCCTGAAGACTGCCAGAGATGGGGCATGCCTAATGTCCTTAGGGAGTGAGTTCCAGAGAGGGGCCACCACCGAGAAGGCCCTCTCTCTCGTCCCCACCAATCGTGCTTGCGATGCAGGTGGGAGCGTGAGTAGGGCCTCTCCAGATGATCGAAGAGATCGTGTGGGTTCGTATACAGAAATGCGGTCACGCAGGTAGGCAGGTCCCAAACCATTCAGGGCTTTGTAGGTAAGGCAGAATGACTTCCCTGGATCTAGACACTACACTCCTATTGATGCAGGTCAAAATCCCATTGGCTTTTTTTGCCGCCGCATCACATTATTGGCTTATGTTTGACTTGTGGTCTATGAGTACTCCAAGATCTTTTTCACACGTACTGCTCTCGAGCCACGTGTCCCCATTCTCTGTCAGCCCACTCTCCCTCCTTTTTACTACATAGAGTCTTTGTGGGGAAGAGTCCTTGCAGAGTTTTGAACTGACTGGGTTGCTGTGAGTTTTCTATATGGCCATGTTCCAAAAGTATTTTCTCCTGATGTTTCACCCTCATCCATGGCATGTGGATGCCTACCATAGATGTGGGTGAAAAGCCAGGAGAGAATGCTTCTGGAACATAGTCATACAGCCCGTAAAACTCACAGCAACCCAGTGATTATAGCCATGAAAGCCTTCAACAACAACAACCTGAACTGATTCTCTATTCAGGATTTTTTCAAATCAGGCCAAGGACCACAGGTTTCCCTTGGGCTTAAAGTTGCTCTACACTGCATGGGCAGATCAGAGATGGGGAGCCTGTACTCCACTGTTGGCTCCCATAAGCCCGTTTGCATGGCCAATGACAAGGAATAACGGGATTTAGAGTCAGTGTCATCTGCAGAGCCCCAGATTTCTAAGAGGCGTGCAAAAAATGGAATAGAGTCACTTGGTCTGATTCATAGAATCATAGAATCAAAGAGTTGGAAGAGACCTCATGGGCCATCCAGTCCAACCCCCTGCCAAGAAGCAGGAATATTGCATTCAAATCACCCCTGACAGATGGCTATCCAGCCTCTGTTTAAAAGCTTCCAAAGAAGGAGCCTCCACCACACTCCAGGGCAGAGAGTTCCACTGCTGAACGGCTCTCACAGTCAGGAAGTTCTTCCTCATGTTCAGATGGAATCTCCTCTTGTAGTTTGAAGCCATTGTTCTGTGTCCTAGTCTCCAGGGAAGCAGAAAACAAGCTTGCTCCCTCCTCCCTGTGGCTTCCTCTCACATATTTATACATGCTATCATATCTCCTCTCAGCCTTCTCTTCTTCAGGCGAAACATGCCCAGCTCCTTAAACCACTCCTCATAGGGCTCCTCATAGGACCCTTGATCATTTTAGTCACCCTTCCAGTTTTCTCTGCTCCAGTACAGAAACCTGAACTTATCACCTTTAAACCATCCAGCCAAAAGAGAGGAAGTGGTACTATGAATCCAGTGTTGTCCCCTAGGTGGACAAGTGGCATGAATTGGTGGTGCAATACAAGCCTGGCTGGATCATACAAATAAAAGGAAACTTTGCCACATGGGCTTGGGGATGAGCAAAAAATGATTTGCCTTCTCTGTTAAAAAAAATGTAGACTGCTTGCTTGGAATAAAAAGATTTCATTTAAACTCTTCCCACACTGTTTTTCACAAGCCTGCTTGATGGCATAGGATTCTCATCGCCCACACAGAAGAGGGAGGGAAAGTCTCTGCAGAGTCAGAGGTGAAAGTGCAAGTCAAAGCCCTCACTAATTTCCCGCTGAGCTACTAGGTCAAGTGGGGCGAAATCAGTGGGTAGAGGCAGCTGATGATTTCAAGGGGTCACATCACAGCCTCCAGAGCTGGAGGCGGCCTTCTTTACAACTTTGAAAAAAAAACGTAACTGAACAAACTTTTCAACAATTGATATAAGAAAAAGAACAGCAATAATAACTATGTTCAATGTGGCTCCTCGGCTGTGGAACTCCCTCTCTAGTGGAATTCGATCAACCCCTTCCCTCTTGTCATTTCGCAAACAAGTGAAAACTTGGCTTTGGGAGCAAGCATTTCACCCAGCATAATTATCTGTGTAATACAGCTGGGGTTGACCCTGGATTGATGAATATGATTATTTGACTATCTGGCTTTGGATCTATGCACAATAGTCATCTAATGTTTACATATGTTAATGTTGTTTTAAATGGTTGTTCACTTGCTTTTAATTGTTATTGTTGTTTGGGCATGGAATAATGTCAGTTATGTGGGCTGCCCTGAGTCTCCTTCAGGGTGAGAAGGGCGGGATATAAATGTTATTGATGGGGAGATATTGGAAAATAGATATTTATTTATGTATAAATTGTATGTACTTTACAAGCACTGAAATGTATAGAAAAATCAGGTTCTCTCTCTGTATTAGAAAGAATGCTGAAGGAGATCTGTGTCCAAGGCACAGCAAGAGGGGGTGAACATTCCAGAAAGAGGGCATGTTATCTATACAGAGACTGGTACAACAAAGCCCAGCATATAACTTCTAAGTAAGGAGCCTATCCACCTCCCTCTCTGACAGGTCAAAGTAGGTCCCTTGATTGATGAATGTAAGCTGTATGCTGCTCTTTAGAGAGAAATACAGAGACATGCCTTTTGTATGTTGGAAGATAGAATTTGATATTTCTGTGATGCTAAAGTGACGCAAAGAATAATGCCAATGTATGTAGAAGCATGTTTCTTTGTTTGCCTGCATTTGAAGTGTATAAAAGGCAGTCAACGCCTTTATCGGGCACTCTGGTTGCTTTTGGACACAGCTCCACTCCAGGGTCCCAGCTGGAAATAAACGTACTTTTCTGCCTCTGAAAAGATCTCTCTTGATATAATCTCTCCTATAATGCTGCAACATTATAAATAAATAAAATTTCGTAAATTGTCCAAGGCTTTAATGGCTGGAATCACTGAGTTGCTGTGACTTTTCCAGGCTATATGGCCATGCTCCAGAAGCATTATCTCCTGATATTTTGCCCACATCTTTAAGGCCAGATGCTAATGCTATTAAGGTGGCCAACTCCAACATTCACACTTGCCTCAAGCAGACAAGAGTTCTTTCTCCCACCCTGGTAATTCCACAGATATATAAACGTCACTTGCCTAGTTCCCAACAGACTTCACAACCTCTGAGGATGCCTGCCATAGATGTGGGTGAAATGTCTGGAGAGAATGCTTCTGGAACATGGCCATACAGCCCAGAAAACTTAGAGCAACCCAATAACTATGTTTGCAGCAACAAATGCATTTCTGGTAGGCTTTTCAAGTTGAAAAATGTGAAGTTTAACCTCTTGCTAAAGCCAGTAGTAAGAATTCACTTTTCAAACTGTCATGTATTGCTTGCTCTTCAGTGTTCTAATTGTGTGTTGTATTATTGTCTTTGTATATTGCTTTTTTGATATGAGTTTTATTTAATTTGTTTTACTGTTGTTGTTATTGCTTGAATTGATGTATTGTGGGCTCGGCCTCATGTAAGCCACACCGAGTCCCTTGGGGAGATGGTAGCAGGGTATAAATAAAGTTTAATAATAATAATCATCATCATCATCACAGAAGCCAGCCATTCTTTCAAGAAGCAGGGTAGAAAAGAAAAAGTAATCCATCTTACTGTTGAGTGTTTCCAGTAGTGTACAATCTCCTCCATGTTCTCCAGGGGATTGAGGATGAAGTGGTCCCGCCATTCGTGCCAGTCAATGGTCATTGTGCCATCCTTGTCTATGCTGCAAAATACACACATACACAGTCAAGCCTGGATAAAGGTGAATGGGTCCCCAAATCAGGGTCCCCTTTCTGCAGATGTGCAACCTTTCCTGGGAGTCTCTACATAGAAATTATTTACTGTATTGGCTATATGAATAATGTATATGCTAGTGTATAAGCCATTCACATGTTTACATCATGAGCAGGTCTGAGGGCCAAAATTTTGGATTTTGATGTGACCGGTGCAAGATTTTCTTCACTTGCAGGAGTGAGATATAAATTTGCAGACCACGGAAGGTTTGCTGGATCTCAGAGACATCAGTCTGGCCAACAGCATAATAATAATAATAATAATAATAATAATAATAATAATAATAATAATATCATCCAGACATTTTAAAAGGCTAGAAGTGGCACAATAGTGGAGATAATAGGTTAAGCCTTCTTTTAGTTTCTCCCAAGACAGATTAAGTTCTCCTCTTTTACCTTTCAATTCACATACATTTCTTTTTTTTAAAAAAGAAGAGTTAAGGTACAGTACTTATATTGACCCATGGATCAGACAACCCAGGTTTTTTTTTTTTTTGGGTTGATTCTTTGACTAAATTTTTTAGACTTATACATGAGTATATATGGTAATAACAAAACACAAATGACAAGAGAAAGCAGCAAATGCTATCATTCTGTAGTATGGATACAGCCTAAGACACTTGGGTACTCACAGCTATTTGAGAAGCCAGGCACCGGTATATGTACAAAGATCTTAAGGAAATTACTCTTTTGGACTACAACCCCCATAATTCATGCTGGCTATGGGATTTTGGGAACTATAGTCTCTCTGTAACACCAAGATGTAACATAATTAACTCAGAACCCTGACTGTTTCCTGATCTCCAATTCTGCAACCATTTCCCCAGAGATGAATGTAGCTTTTCTTGTGCAACCCTGCTAACTTCAGCACCACGTTGCGGAGGACGATGTCATGCAAAGATAGTCCCAGCCTCACCTGTGCAAGATTTTCTCCGCTTGCAGGAGGGAGATGTAAACCCCCAGACTGTGGAAGGTTTGCTGGATCTCAGAGACATCAATCTGGCCTACAGCACAAGCAGAGGGACAAAGAGGGTGTCAGTCGATCCGGGGGGAAACCAGGATGCAATCCACAATGCTGATGAATCAGGAGAAGCTGGGGGTTCTTTGGGAAGTCCCTGAGTGGGTGGAAGTGAGCTGTGCCCAAATCTTTGGGGGTGTGGGGTGCAGAGGCAGGGTGCCAAAAGAACAGCAGTTTTTGAGGGATTTCTCAAAGGAGCAAAAGTGGATTAGTGAGGGTGGCAGCGCACGCACAAAGGGCTGGCTGGAAGGGGAGGAGGTGCATACTGTAAGAGCAGGGAGGGAGACACCATGCGGTCAGCCATACCAGCCTTCTGGATTCCCATACTCATCCCCCTGCCGGCGTCACACCTGGAAAAGAGACAGAAAAGGGGGCTGCAGGGCGCAGGTGTCTTCCAGGGCCTGAGGTGCAAGAAGGCATAGCTCTAAAAAAGATGCCTACACTCAAGGATTTGCATTTGAGAAATACAATGTTAGAGCCAAGTGTGGGTATGTTGCTTTCTAATATATCAAGACTCCTTAATCCCCAGCCAACACAACCAGTGGGTGAGGGATTTGGGAAGTGTGTTGCAAAAAAGTAACCTTCTGAAACTTTGGACCAAGGGTGAAAAAAGCAAGAGGCGGGAAAGGCTGAAGGGACAGCCTGCACAGCCAAGCAAACAAACAAGAAAACTCTCAGTGTGAGCACTGATAGCCAAGGTCTCCCACAGTGGGAATATGGGCAAACCCAATTCAGAACCATTTCTCGGCACAGTTAATAAAGCAGTTGTTCTTTGGCAGCTGACATGCCTTCGATGTTGATTGAGATTATTGTCATGGTTGGTCCTGAAAAGGTCCGTTGGTTGTTTTGCTTGCTTGTTTGCATGCTGCAAGTCGTCTCTGGTTGCTTCTGGATCGAGAGAATCAGCTGTCTACGAAGACGTTGCCCAGGGGACGCCCGGATGTCTTGCAATCCTATGAGGAGGCTTCTCTCATGTCCCCCTCTCTGGAACACCTCAGCAAGCGAGAGTTCAAAAGTGGCAGGCTCAAACCCAGCACCTCAATCCGTGGGTGATACCAGATGAGAGACTCCCCCCTGGGCACACAGAAGACTGGGCGACTTGGAAGGCGCTGAACAGACTGCGCTCTGGCACCACGAGATGCAGAGCCAATCTTAAGAAATGGGGCTACAAAGTTGAATCCACGACATGAGAGTGTGGAGAAGAGCAAACCACTGACCACCTGCTGCAATGCAACCTGAGCCCTGCCACATGCACGATGGAGGACCTTCTTGCGGCAACACCAGAGGCACTCCAAGTGGCCAGATACTGGTCAAAGGACATTTAATCAGCTACCAAGTTTGCAAAATTTGTGTTTTTTATCTGTTTGTTTGTTTTGTTCTGTTAGAAATGTAATACAATGTTCTGGTTGCAGATGACACGATAAATAAATAAATATAGAGCCATTTCTGCAAGGCCCATGCCATGCTCCATCCTCTGTGAACAGAAATCACAATGACTTCATAAATGGCACCCGATGGGACTTCAGGTTTGTCTTTTTTACTAGAGGCATTGTGATTTTTCCACTCCATATGTCATCCCTGCCTCCTTTGCCTGCATCTTTGACAAGGAATGGTTTGGTTTAGTAGTTTATTCGATGCTTAGACCATAGGTCTTTCACATACAAGGCAAGGCAAATAAATAAATACAGGAACACCAGATTATTAGTGAGGAAGGAAGGAGCGAGTCTTCTAGCAGCTGCACCCTACACGTGCTGAACATGATCAACCATCCTGCTTTCTGCTCTAAATTTCCATGGTGTTTCTTTTTCCATTCGGAACCAAAAAGAACACATGTATCGCTTCATGGTTTGGAAACAGCATGAGTGTTATTTTGCAAGAAATGCACAGGATAGGGAACCGCTTGGGGCTAAAGAAATCCAAAGCAACCACAAGTTCAGAGGCAGCAAGACTACAGGTGGAGAAATGTGTACACCTGTGCACATAGGTATGTACACATCATTGGTATGAATGGTTAATTGCCAGCATCATCTTTCCAGACTCTGCCTCCTGGTGGCAAACAAGGAGAATCGTTTGCTCTTTTGCACATTAGTGGAAGACCACCAAAGAATCACAGGTACTGTAGGGTATACTCTTTGCCTCTCATCCCCATGGGTTCTGCATTTGTGGATTTGTCATTTTTAAAAAAGAGACACAATTTTACTACACCATTGTATATAACTGGACTTAAATATCCATGAATTTTGGTATGTAAAGGGGGTGGGGCTTGAACCAAACTCCAGCAAATAACTCCAGCTTATATTTCAGATAAGAGAACTGGGGGGGGGGGGGGGATACGCCTCTAATAATTCCTTTGCTATTAAATGGATGCCTCCATTGCTCTCTTGGTATCCAAAATCAGCAGCTGTGGGACAACCGGTCAATGGAGAGAGATCATTCTCAATGTTTGGAAATATTTGCTTTATTGACCTATAGATCCCAGAATCCCCCCACCTACTTATGCCCCACTTTGTTCTCTTTCTGGTAACTCTCCAGTCTTTGCTTTCTTTCTGGTGATGGATAGTTTCTCACCTGGAAAAGTAAGACAATGCGAAGGCACTTCTTCCTTGAGGAACTTGGTAGTTGCCTTGCCTATTGTCCTCATATCTAGAGGTGGTCCTTAAAATGAGCTCAAACATCCCATAAATCCTCACGGGGAAGCAAAGTCTCTTCTGGATATTCAACAAGCTGCAGAATTGGGTTCAGTTTTCTTTTGCCCTGGTATTCTGAATCCTCAAAATGGGTGAAAACTAGCTTATTGTGGTAGTAATTTGCTCTAAGTAAGAAGGGGCCAGCATTGGACTATGACTTAGGACCAGGGTTTCACCCCCTGCTAGGTTGTGGAAACTCACTGCACCTTTGGCGAATCACACCCTCTCAGTACCAGAAAATCCAATAATAGGGTTGCCATAAGTCACAAATAAAACAAATTGACCTCGTTTATTCTAGTTGTTTTGATGACTAGCCTTATGGTCCAAATCCTGCAAATCTCTTGGGAAGACAAGCAGATAAATGTCAGTGTGCTGGAAAAAGCAAAGACCACCAGCATTAAAGCGATGGCTCTCCGCCATCAATGCTGCTGGACCGACCACGTTGTCCGGATGCCCGACCACCGTCTCCCAAAGCAGTTGCTCTACTCCAAACTCAAGAATGGAAAACCGTATGTTGGTGGGCAGGAAAAGAGATTTTAAAGACGGGCTCAATGCCAACCTTAAAATCTCTGTCATAGATACTGAGAACTGGGAAGCCTTGGCCCATGAGTGCTCCAGCTGGAGGTCAGCTGTGATCAGCAGTGCTGCAGAATTTGAAGAGGCACGAATGGAGGGCGAAAGAGAGAAACATGCCAAGAGGAAGGCGTGTCAAGCCAACCCCGACCGGGATTGCCTTCCACCTGGAAACCGATGCCCTCACTGTGGGAGACGATGCAGATCAAGAATAGGGTTCCACAGTCACCTATGGACCCACCCTGGAGGATTATCCTACTTGGACAACAAGGGATCTCATTTTGGAGTCTAAGCATGGTGAGGCTTAGTTAGTACTTGAATGGAAGACTACCAATGAATACCAGTTCTGGAAAGTATATTACAGAGGAAGGAACTGGCAAAACCACCTCTGAAAAATCCTTGCCTAAGGAAGCCCTATGAAATGCATGGTGTTGCCACAAGTCAACATGCAACTAGAAGGCATACACCCAGGAAGTATAGGATCTCTGGCTGCACAGTAGCAGCAGTCGTATCTGTCTCCTGCTTAGAGTAAAGCTTTGTCCAGACCAGGCTGGGAGCTGAAGCAGTGATTGAACAGAAGTCTCTAGAAATGTCACTATTTGGGAGATTAAAGCTTACAAAATCCTGCATTTAGAATAGTCATTCTGGGTGGCACTATTTTGGGAACCGAATTCCAAAAAAGCAGCACCCCCACAGAGAGGGAGAAAGAGAGGTAGACTATCGCCTGTATTTAGTTGTCAGCTAAGTGACAATCCGTGTGTTTCAAATCAAATCAAATCACACCCGGTGCCATCTGTTTTAAACTGATTACAAATGCCAGAGTTACACACTGAGAGCATCTCTTTGGTAAGGGTCAAGGGTGGAATTGCAATCCAATATTAGAAATATAATCCAGTTCTTATCATTTTAATAGGTATGGCTTGCAACCTTCAAATTAAAGTAGAAGAACATGTTAAAAGGAGAATATATATATAAACATCATGATTTCCCCCTAAATGACCTCAATTTTTTTTGTCGTGTCAGGAACTCCTGTTGTGAGAGAATTGGCCATCTGCAAGGACGTTGCCCAGGGGATGCCAGGATGATTTGATGTTTTATCATCCTTGTGGGAGGCTTCTCTCATGTCCCCGCATGAGGAGCTGGAGCTGATAGAGGGAGCTCATCTGCCTCTCCCCGGATTCGAACCTGCGACCTGTCGGTAATAACCTCAATAAAGAGCCATTAACTCAGTTGGAAATAGTGGGTCAGACTGCCACTTTTTTTCTTGCCACGAAATTTTGCTGCTAAAATTAATAGGGCCCCAGCCAATACTGGACTACTTGGTGTGTGTGTGTAATACATACACTTCTCTAGAGTATATTTTAAATGTACCTAGAAAACAGTTAAATTTATTTAGTGCAAGCAAATGGGTGGCAGCAGCTGTGTCACTTCCAGATGTGTCGGGCTACAACAGCAGGGAAGAGAAGACTGCTTAAGATCCATATCATAATGTTTTCATTTTTCCGCTGGGTTGATGCAAGACTTTAAAAGGTTTAAGTCTGGTTTGAGCAGAGCTAGGAATGGTTCTTTTTAAAACAACAATTTCCAGAACCAAATGGGCATGTCACACATTTTTAGCCCTGGACAACTCTGTGATAAGCTTGTCTTAGGGTTGCTATATATCTGAAATGACTTGAAGACAATCAACAAGTAAGTAAGGTCATTGGACATGGTGGCTGTGAGATTC